ACAATAACTTAATAATAACTTAATTAAATTTAATATAAAATTGTTTAAATAAATTTCTACTAACTTTAACAAAAAAAATTATTAAAATTTGTTTAAAATTTCAAAAAAATTTACTTAGTTTAATTTCTATTGACAGTAGCTCATGTTAGCTTTAAAAATTTCTGGTTGAGTTTGAGTTAGGTCAGGTTCAGATCAGGTTTGAGTTGGGTTGAACTGCTAATCTAAAAGTATTTCAACCTAATCTGATCTGAATTTTTAGGTTGAGTTCAGGTTGGCTATAACCCGACCTGAACTTGACCCATTCGGAGTACTAAATATAGTACTTTACAGTAAGTAAATTTAATATTTATATGACTAAAATTATATCAATTATGAATATATTGTAATAAATTAGGAGCAAGTAGAATATAATAAGATTGGGGTCTTAATAAAAGTTTTGATTTAGTGTGTTTCTAAATTCTTCTTTTTTGTTAGGCTTTTGATGCAAGAGTTTGTATTTTTTGCTAATATTTATAATTTGTTTTTTCTTTAAACATTTTTAGGTTTATTCTAATTATATAAGATACTTAATAGTATAAAGCGTATTTATTAGATTTAGTTTTAATAATAAGTAATTAGTAATTATACTAAATATAAGATAATTATTATGAGATTGTTTTGTATTATTTGCATATTTCATAATAAAATTTGAAAAATTCACATTCGTAAGAAGTAAGTATATAATATATTTCTATATATAGTAATTAATTATATTCAAAGCTTGTTTGCAGATTAAACATGTATATTTCTTAATTTAATCTTTTATAGGCTATTTTATAGAGTTTCTTATAGAAATGCAAGCATTTTTTAATAGGTTATTGGGTATTAAGTAAGTAAACTTGTGTAATTAAATTAGATCAGAAATAAAAGGTTAAATTTATATGTAAATGTATAAACATTTTTATTGGTATTAATAATTAATAATATGAATATTAGTGAACTTGTTTTAAACAAGTCAGATAAGATAACAAAAAAGATGAATTTTATATAAGTGTATAAATATTTTTGTTGGTTATTATATAATAAGTATTATATATATTAGTAAACTTGTTATTACTAAGTCAGTTAAATGATAAAGAAAATAGAGTTTATATATAAGTGTATAAATATTTTTGTTAGTTATTAGAAATTAAATATTACCTATATTAGTAAACTTGTTCTAATTAGATCAGATTAGAAATAAAAGTAATAAATTCATATGTAAGTGTATAAATATTTTTGTTAGTATTAGTATGATAAATAATTAATTGTAATAGGTAAATTCTTTTTTTTTTTGTACCTCTTATTTTCTATTAAGTAATAGATTTTTAATTTTGTAATTTATAATTAATATATTTTTTTATTATATGTAATAATATGAGTAGAAAGATATATAATATATAGATATATAATATAAAAGTTATGATATATTAGGATCTTATAATAAAAGAATAAGTTTTATAGATAAATCAAGATAATTTGTATTCATTTATTATCAGAAATTGTTTAGATTTGAATATTTGCAAATAAATTATTGTTATTATTTTGAGACTTTTTAGAATTATGTGTTGCTTGAGTTATAGTCTCTTTTTTTTTTTGTGACTGCATGTAGTATGTTTTTTGATTGTATTATCAGTTTCAATAGATTTTTCTTTTTAGTTTATTTTTCTTGCTTTTAATTCACATTCAGTATCAACATTAATGTGTTTTGTTTGTTGTGGATCTTGAGATAGATTATCTATTTCTTAGAATTTTTTTTTATTTTAACAAACATGTATTATCATTTGATTGGTTATTATCTGTGGTTTCAATATCATTTAACACCAATGGAAGAGAACTAGTCTTAGAAATATTTTCAGAATTTTTGGTCATACTTTAGTGAAGAAACAAAAGTTTTGATTATATTGGATTATCTAGAAGTAGTGTTTCATTATTATTTATATTTAATTCATTTTTTTTAGTGTTGATATAACTGATATCGTTAGTATAAATATAAAATTCTTTGTCAATAATTTCCATTTGTCTAATTACAAAGATTAATGATTCTTGTGAATATATGGTAATTTTAAGATGTTCTAATTGTGGATTTGTATGTGAAAAAATTACTTTAGTCATATAATCAACAGGCTGACCAACATAATAATCAGATATAAGAGTTTTAATAATGAAATTTTCAGTATCTTTAATTTCAGTTAATGTTCTTTGTGGAATTCCTACTAAAGAGACTTTTAAAGAATATTTATTTGAGTCTGAAGCTTTATTATCAATCGTTAAATGAGTTGAAGTCACAACTGTCATCTAAATAATAAACAAACAGACAAATGCTGTTATAACCTACCTATAGCAAATAAAATTGAATCATTTTATCTAAAGATAAATTATTATTTAAGTCAATACATAATATTATTCTTTGACTTCAAGGAGGTCTGTTTTAATAAATTTATTAAGGGTATCCTGCATACTTACCTCTTCACTATATATTATTTTTTCTTCGTAGTAAACTTGAGTAGCACTTTGAACTATTTTATATATAAACAAATATGCAAGCTAATCAAAACAATCTATATAGACTTACTCAAGTAGATTATTATTCTTTTCAATTATTCCTATGAAATAATGAATTTTTTATAATCCTTCATAGTGATAAATTATTTCAAGAATTTGTTGTTAATGCATAAGCCACAACTGAATAAAACAGACTAAAATACCTATATAAAATTAAGATAAATTACATGCAGATGTCTATTAAGGTATTATTGATATAATTAGAGAAAATACAAATAATGAAATATCTACTAATAATCTTGAATGCTGAATAATCTTACCTTTAATATATATTATAAGTGCTTACCAAATATTTGAATTATTTCAAGATTCTATGGTGATTACAAGGTTCTATGGTCATCTTGACATATTTGGAACAATGATTACAAACCTACATTGGCCAGAAATAATAAATGAATTGTTTTTAAATCAAATATCTACAGATCATCCAGATTTAGTTACATGTATATTTAAGTTAAAATGTTGTATACTTCTTTACAATATTAAAAATAAAGACATTTTAGTAAAACTGTTGTATATGTATATATAATTAAATTCTAAAAGTGTAGTCTCTTTCACATGCAGTTTTTAATATTTTTTAGTTATAAAATAAAAGACTCTACAGATATTGACTATATAGTATATGCAGAATTTCCTATTTCTTAATATATAGTTTATAGTCCTTGTGGCCTCTACAACTTATATTCCCTATGTATAATAAATAATAAATGCAAAAAAAATTACCTTAAATTATTTTGTGATAAAACTTCAATAGATACTAATAGTTATCCTTTATATGTAAGAAAACATGATGATTGAACATTTAAAATCCTTGATCAAATTATTGATAACAGAGATATTGTACTAGGGTGTTGCACATCAAATAATTTAGTTTCATAGTGCAAAACTATATGTAATTTATTCTATATAAGATTTTTCAATTTTTGTTGATTATTTTATTATAAAAAATTCATCATAGTAATTTATTATAAAAATTACATATCTTTAAAATGTTTTAACTTCTGTTCTAGAAAGCAAATTCAATTCTATAATTGCAAATGATATTAGAATAGTGTATTATAAAACTATATTAAGATATTTTTAAATTTATTTTGTTAATATAATTAAAAGATCTAATTTTTTTTTAGTCATGAATTTTAATAGTAAAACATTCATGATTTATAAGTTTATCCTTTAATCTGTAGGCTATTATAGGCAAATTTGCCTAAAAAATTTATGCAACAATACCTATGATCTATATTTTTATAAAATTAATATATTTAAACAAAAATTTTTTTGATAATATTTGAAAATAAG